CCACCCTCATGTCAGCCTAGTTGACAGGCCCCTGATCTCAGTATTTTGCTAGCAACTTCCCTCAAGGGTTTCAGTGAGACTCCAAATGTCCTTTACGTCACTGACAGAGTTTGTAGCCCATCCGTCACTCCCTGAACGTCTGCCAAGTGAAACTCAAAATCGTCCCACATAGTTCCATCCTTGTTCATTTCCAGAGCCAAAGCTAACCTCGTCAGTCTGTGCTGTATTTTATCAGATATTAATTTGGCCTCTACAGGAAACCCTGAAAAGACGGATGCATTATCTTCTTCACTAATTTTGTTGATTGATTTTTTTCAAAATTGCTTTAGACAACACTAAGTTAGGGGGCCTTTGAGTAGATTGGGGTAAAAGTAAAATACTTGTATGCTTTCCTTTTTTTTTGCCTCAAGCAACTTCAAACAAAGGGGATTTTGGCAGAACACCCAACCCACCAGCAGATTACACTCTTTCCATTACAGAACTAAATAATAGGGGCTGCACAAAAATGAGATGGGGCCGCGTTTTATAGGTGCTACCCAGAAACTTTGGCAGGGAGTCCTGTGGCTACTGTGGTAGTGAACACGGGGGGTGGTGCAGTGGCGTTTTTTTTGCAGGAAAAGTGGTGGTGGAGGCTATTTTAGGAGTGAATGAGCTTTTGGTTTATGACCTGGTTATCTGAGGCTACAACCTATGACAAAAGCAAGGAATGAAAAGGGGGACTGTAAATACCATTTAGAAGTCATTGTCTGCAGATTTACCTACTTAGAGGCATCTGTTCTCATCGCTTTGCTTTTTTCTTTGCACTTGCATTGACCCTTGCATGAGGGTGCTTTTAAAAGAAAAACCTCTCAAGCAAGGAGGTGAGGTGTGGTCCATTAACCGCTGAGCTGCCTCCTCTTAGAAGTCACTGACTTCTCCGAAGCATCTTCTAACTTCATTAAAGCAGCCGTACTAAACGTGCGACTGTCAATTTGCCTTTCTGTGATCTTCTGAAATTTACATGTGGCTTGAGGATGCTGTTGTACAAAAGGGGAACCACACTTGTGTTACCACCAGCTGTGTCGCCTCTGAAAAGAACCCTGTAACCCCACACATCTGGCCCAGTTTGGCCAACATTAATGGCAACCAGTGCAATGCACTGTATTAATCATGTGTCATTTCTGTCATCTTTGTTTGTAGACTTTGAAACAAAACTTTGAAACATTGCACACATTCTGCGGGCTGCCTCCAGTTTTTGAGCTTTGTTAGTGCCTGAACAAATTGGTTTTAGTCCGTAATACTGTACATGCTTACTTCTATCATAAACTCATTTTGTGTAATGTTGTTATAGGGGAAATGTTGCTCACGCAGTAAGCCTGTTTTGCTGTCCCCTGAGTCCAAAGCATGTAATAAAGATGGAAGGAAGCTCTTTATGTCAACCCTCTGTGAGGAAGCAGTTGTCTGTAATTATCGCTGCTTTTCATCCCTCCTAGCAAACACAACAAATAAGTGCTCTCGTGTGACCGGGCAACATGTTTCAGAGAAACTATTTGTTTGTTTGTGTTCTTGAGATCACACGACCACAGCCCCATACTGTTTTTGTCGCTTTTCCTCACCCATCTTTTTTGGAGCATCAAGTGGATTTCGAGTTGCAATGTGGAAAGCATTAGCCTCAAATCCCAGCAAATATAATAACAGGGCGATTAGTTCTCTCTCTCAGTGATTTTCTCCAGTTTGTGTCTTTTTTTTTTTTTGCCTCGTTGCTGGGGTGGTGCTGTATTTTGTGAGCACAGGGCTTGGTCAAGGGCGAGTCCTCCTCTTCTCTTTCCCGGACTTTTTCTATTTGTAGATCTGCATGTATTTTATTGGAGTTTTTTCCCCATTTTCTCTCGCTTTTATGCGGTGGTGGTTCTGTTTCCCATCACAGTCTATGATGAAACCACAAGAAAGCCCGGGGCCTTGTGACGAGAGCGCAACAGTTGCTTGGTGACAAGTAAGAGGGTGTGAGGAAAGGGCTGGGTGTGTTTGGAGGGGAGTGGGCCTGAAGTGGCGAAGAGCCAATCAGTGGATGAGCTCTTCCTTTTCTGGAGGACAAGGATAAAGGGTCCATACCTACGCCGTTCCAATGCAAAATTGGCCTTTTCTTTTTAGTGTGATAGATGTGTGGGCATCCGCAGGGCTTTTAAATGGGCCATTCATCTTTACGATGGCCTCACTTATATCAGAGTCCTTGCAGATCTGTTACTTCCCATTCCCACCACAAGCAAATGATGCCTCAAAACCACATGGATCAACCCCCTACCCTCCCACCCCCATCTCTGTAACAGTGGCAAAACGCTGCCATATTTACCCTCTCATCCTGGAAAGCTAACTTGGCCACAGCGGTGCGGGATGTTTGCCAGCGGCAACCCATTCCAAGCGGACCATGTGCAGACAAGCAATGCTTCATCCTGAAACTCAAGAGGAAAGTTTCCTGAAGGAGGAGAAGAGAGAGAGATGGAAGACATTTGCAAAGTCATTTGGCTCTTTCTTTTTGATACAGTGCATTGAGCAGCTCTGCATGCAGCCAAGTTCGGTCAGTTTAATGCTCACTCTGTTTGAGGAGAAGATATTTGAAGGACGTGAGCTCATTTGGGATGCAGTCAGTTGCCCTGTCCCTCCTGATGTTATCCTCTTTGACTTGTGGAGTAACAGCCATGATTGCTTTTGGGGAGCAGTGACTCATAATTGCTCTCGTCCTGCTGCCAAAGTCTCAGAAGCAGTGTTTCCCTGTCTTTTTGTTGCCATGACTGCCAACATCCAAAAAATTGTAAATACAACATAAAATCAACATATGAGTCCCATCTTACCAAATGAGGATACGTTACATTAAGAATAATTATCAAGATAAGTGTTGAAGCAGAGCAGCCCCCCCCTGCCAGAAGTCCCCATAAACTCTGCATCTGTTTGCAGGTGCATCTTTTGAGGCCTGAGAAGTGAGCATTATTTAATATGCCTCGTCTGTCCTCTGGATGTCAGCCTGATGATAACTTGTTTCCTCCACTCATCTCATAGCTCCCCTATGTAAGGTTGGCAAGTGCATGACCCCCACTGAAACACCATTAAGCTGTTTTTCCAATTTTATGGAGTCGTGTTCTGCCTCAGCCGCTCTCAGGTGGATTTACGATCTGCTGGTTGATATCCTTGCATGCCAAGACAGTATTAATTTGCTAAGAGAGAAGGGAGCCATTTACAGACAATAGAGTGGCATCATAATTGCAGGAACCTGACACCCTGCAGCTCCTTGCTGCTGTTGAACTGCTGTCAGCCAGACGATGAATAGCTGATAAGCTTGACTGAACAACACAGCCGAAACAACTTTAATTAAAATCAACTTTGGCTGACGCACTGAGAGCAGTCGGGACGCTGATTTACTCTAAATTAAGTGTTAGCACTACTTTGTGGTGGATGCAAGAAGCTGGAATGCATGTTTGCGTGCAAACTAACTGCTGTAAATATCGCACAGCATGCTGCAGAGTATGGGAAGCTAATTATAAAAGATATGAAACTTTAACGACACTTAGTTTTAGTGTAAGTAACTTAATTGTACATTTATTTACCGCTTCACGTGTACCAATAACACGCAGAGGGTTAACTTGGAAGTTCATTGATCTACCACAGAAAATAACTTTTTATCAGTGCTGCTCAGCTCTCCTTATCTGTGCGACTAGCTCAGAGAACCAGCAAAGAACGAACCTGGCAACTGACCACAGAAGTAACATTTAAAGTCTGTGAGGGTAAAGCATCCCCAAAGAAATGCTTATCTGTGTCAGTTGAAAGAGAACGACAGAAAAGCAACGGCAGAGAAGAAGCGAGTAGACGATAGCGAGAGAGCAGAACAGATGACAACACACCAGAGAGGAAGTTGGGAAACTTTGGATTGAAAAGAGAATATGAAAGAGCCTTGGAGCACAGCTGGCTCACCAAGGGGTATAATGACTGTCATATTGCAGTGCATTAGGTCATACTCAGCCCAGACAGCTTAGCTTGATAAAAGGGGCCGGTCATTGGCGAACCACATACATAGCAACAAGACCCCATGGAGACGAGCCAAACAACAAAGTATTGTTTGCTCCTCATTAATGTTTGACTGACAGGCAAGAAGTAAAACTGTTGTGATATTTATGTGTGCTCTTCTTCTTTGTGGAAATGTCAACTTGTTGCTCTTGCAGCATCTTTTGCACCTTCTGTTTGCACAAAAATGAATGCCATACCTGTACACTGGGAAGCCTGTTTTGATCCCCACATATTAAAGAAAACGGGTTTCCTGATCTATCAGCCATTCAAGTTACGAGCATTTACGTCATCTGTAATCAAAACAGTCACACAATAAATTAATATTTTCCATTGTAATGCAATCAAAAGAGGAATTCAGTTGTAGCTGTTAAAGCTCTCTTGACAGGATCCCCCCCGAGGCTCACTGTGATGAGCGGTGATAGCTCATCATCGTTCCATCAGCCGTTGTTTATTTGAATTCCCTTTTCGGCGAAGAAAAGCTCTGAACCAGCCATTGTTTGCCTTGGGAACCCGGCTTTCTCTTTTTTTCTTGCGCTTAGCCAGATGGTTGTTATACACTTCCTCAAAATTCAATCCATATTTGCTTTTGCTACATATCTGCAGGGTCTTTTCTTTTCTTTATGCTCGTGTGTTTGCATTAATTGAAACAATGTTGTCATTGATCTTGCTTTAAGATTTTTTTGGCCAGAGTTTAAAATGTATGGAGCCTGGGCAAAGAATATAATTATTCCAAACTTTTCGTCTATAATCATTCCAAAGACATTAAAAAATTTAATTGCACAAGTAAATTTCACAGTCCAGATTCTCAATAAAGCAGGACACATGTGCGGCTGAGTTTTACGCGCCTGTTTAAAAGCTTTCTCCAAGTGTTTGATTTTCAGTTTAATACATGGCTAATTCCTTACTGCAAACATTAGAGGCTGCTTTATAATCGTAGTTCACGTTCTCTCTCTCTCTTTTTACAGAGTGTTACACTGCCAACGGAGAAGACTACAGGGGCTTCCAGAACCAGACCAGCCTGCATGGGGGTAAACCTTGCCTTTTCTGGAATGAGACCTTCCAGCACCCTTACAACACCCTCAAATACCCGAATGGAGAAGGAGGTCTGGGCAGCCATAACTACTGCAGGTGAATATTTTACTTTCCACAGAGCCATGGAGCCATAACTTTAATTTCAGCGGTCACTGGGACATAAAAACTGCAGAAACAGACCCAATGAAAAATCCCTCAAAAGTTGGTTGACTTTACCTCAAATTTGAAGTTTATATAGCTTTTACAGTAAGCTAGTCATCTGCTATACATGCACACAGTTTCACAACATAAAAGCTTCGTTCGTGACACAATCCAGAACAGTATCTGTGTTCAGCTCAACAGAGCACTGAGCAAATGCCATGCTAATTTACACTGTGGATAACAAGAAAAAGTTAAAAAGTACATTTTTACAAGATTAATGAGATGTTTGCCACCATCCACACAGCTGAAATAAAACACTGCGATCTGTTAATGCATAGAATTAAGAACTTAAACTCCAGTACATCACAAGATACAAATATGACTAAAAAGCCTGAAGGAAAGGGATGTGCACAGTCGAATTTGTCTTCTTTCTTATCTCTTTGCTCACAAGCTCTCAGATTTCGCATTTTCAATGGAAGTACTTAGTTAGAAGAGAGTGGCATTGTTGTTTTCATCACAAAATATGAAGCTGCCGCCAGCAGCTGTCAGCTTGCTAACTGGGCTTAACACAAAGACTGGTAACAGGTGGAAACAAGTGGCCTGCCTTTGAGCAAAGGTAGCAAAAACCACTAATGAACACATTGTATTCTGTTTGTTTCATCCTTACAAAACCGAAGCTCATGACCAGTAATTTCCTAGCCGGGAACCACTGCTCCAAAACTGTTTCTGTTCAACCTTTTTTCTTTTTACACCTTTGTTACTCTAAATCCAGGATGGACTCACTTCCCTCGGAGGTCACACTCACCTCAAAGTGACCTGTGCATCCATAAATTGATTTAAGTGATTAATAAATAAGGCCTGATTTCACAAATGCAGTTTCTGATCTTTTGTTGACAAGGATTTCAGCGTCTAGATGTAGAGCTAAGGGTAAAAGTTCATTTAGGCATTTCTCTGCAAGCTTCACTCGTTTCCACACACAGCCTTTTGAGCAAGCTTTTCTGGCGGTTGCCTGGAAGAATAACAAATTTTCCCCTCATGCTGTTTGTTGTAAAGCAATCTTCTTTTGTGTTGCAGATCCATCAGATTTACCACAAAGTCCTAAGCTGTGGCTCACAGTCTAAGCCTACCAATTATATAAGCACTTATCTTGTTTTTGTTTATGATGATGATCATTTGTTATTGATTAGTAGCGCCTTAAAAAGTTTCTTTTCAATACTGCTGTTTGACGGAGCTTTGAACTTCGTGGGCAAAGCACTTGACTTTGTGAAGAATTTAGAGTCATGTTGTTGTTGTCTTGCAAAGGGTTTAAACACCAGGGACCAGCTAAGACATTTGCCTCTGAATATTTTATATGTAGTACCAGAGGAGAACGTTTAGCCCTGTCACCGCAAGGACGCAAATACGCCTGAAGAGTTTGTGTAAGCAAATCTCTATTCCTCATCCCTGGAATGTGAAGGGACACAGTGGCTTTGGGTGTCTAGCGAGCCCTTTCTCTCCGTCAGTCACACTCCAAGTACAACTGTCAGTATTGCATGCACAACTGTCAAACTTGTGTATTTTCAGGGAGCCACACTCATTCGTGAGTCAGTACAAATTCGCAGAGACGTCCAGAACAGTGGCTTGGCCCGGATCGCCCGGCCATAAGAAACAGAACACCCCTTCCTCCTCCTCCTCCCGGGCCCAAAGCCTCTGAAAGCCTCTCTATGTCATGGTTGTAAACTCATAACGGAACAATGCTTTCAAGTGGCACTGGACAGATTTGTTTTTACTTCAGCTGGATGGGAATTCGGAAGATTTATGAGCAGGATACATGCAGAGGATGGAGAAAAGCTTTCCTGCGTATTAGAAGCGTATTATGTCCAACACACCATTCAAAATGGACATCTTCATTTTTGGGATTTGGCTGTTTTCTTGGCCCCTGAAGCAGTAAGCAGACGTTCCAACTCATTGATAGCACGTAGCTTTGCTTCACTCACGACAGAGGGATTTCTGTCACTTAGGGCTGTAGCAACAACTGTTTTCAGAGACCCTCCTTGTAAGGAGTCACCCATCAGCATTGCTATGGGAAGCAAAGTGGCCTGTTCATTGTGGAAAGATGAGGGATGGCATTTTTGTCTGTACAAGGTCAAGCATTTGTGAATGTCTGTGCATGTTGTTGACTGCAAATGTTATGAACATACCCGCAGAAGAGGGAGTTATCCCACTGCATAAAAATGTGTAATGCTTGATTTGTTTGATCACAGAAAGCTGGCTCACGAGATGGATTTTTCCAGCCATGTGGGAAAGTGTCTTGGACATTGTTGCCCAATTTGAATTGTAAATCTCCTTATTTGCATGTGGTGCATCTTGCAATTCAAATTGTTTCCAGTGTTTCTTTAACCCTCTTTAACCTTCAGATGCTTTCTCATCTCCCTGACCTACCCATGTTTGTCTCTCCTCTAAGGTTTAGATTTTTGTTGACAGTTCTGGCTTGAAAACAAAGAGGTGGTCATCCTTGGACAAAAGGAGAAGTACCAGCAAGAAAATGGAGTAAAATGAGGAGAGCCAGGGAAATGTTGGCATGTCTAACTGTTAGGCCAATTGTAGTGTTAAGAGGTGAGAATTGAAGCCAGTGCCCAGGTGGAAAGTGTGAATCCAGGAATCATCACACATCTTAATTTTAACACACAGCTCCAAGCAAATATCAAGTTTTGTGAAGCAGAGAAGTAGAGGATTACAAACTGACTTTTAGTCCCATCATTGGCGTTTTTCCTGCTGGTGATTTATTGGAGAGGGCACCAGAGTGGTGCTGAAGAAAGAACCCTAACAGCCCCCACATTTCATTTTTATAGCCCGCTATAAAATATCCGAGTGAAAACAGGGGGAAACTGGGCAGAGGGGAAATGTCACATTATTCCCCTGCAAAGAAAGGAGCACAAAGCCTCAGGAAAAGGACAAGAGCGCTCATTTCTAAGCTGAGTCTTAGCAAGGCAGTGAATATCACATCGCTAATTATCAGCCTGGTTGGATTTTGAGCTGATTTCTTGTTATGAAATAGATGTTAATTCTAACTCTTGGTGTTGAGCTCGGATGTTGCGTCCTAATAATTATGCAGTTTTACGCTTAAAAAAAGACACTTTTTTTTCAGACCTTAAGCACTTCTTTGACATTTTGGTAATACTTTGTGACTTTCATAAGAAGAGCATCACAGAAATAGAAATCCTGATTTATATTTCATTTGTTCGTTCTAATCCACTGTTCCTTAAGGGCTGCTATTGGACTGCATTAGTATGAGGGTGTGAATTGCTTGAAGGTTCAGTGGGTGGTTGAATAGCTTTGCCATCCATTTGATGGCTATATATATGCAGGTGTGTGTGTACGGTAGGATTTATGAGTGTTCAGTATGGCTTCTAATGCTTTTCCCTTACATAGATGAGATAATGGAAATGCCAGAGTGAAAAGTGTTCCCCAAGTTGATTGTAATTGAATCTCCATGATGTCAGGTGCAAATTTGAGGTCAGACAAACTGCAGCCAAGTTGTCCACTGGTGGTATTACTTTATTGTGATCCCAAGGTGCTGCTTTGTTAAATTGAGGAAGTTAATAGAAGTGCCCCACAAGAAGATGTACATCAACATTATAGTAATATCAGAAGCATAGAAGGAACAAACTTCCTGTACTAAAATGTTCTCCTTATTTGAGCAGGTTTTTGTGTTCGGTTTACAGATGGTTTGGTTTCTTTCGTCTTCGTTTTGAGATGTTAAGAGATTTCTGCCTCCATTCAGCGATGCACACCGCTGCTGGATATGTTTGGGGAACAATAATGAGCTCCTGATTGTATAGTATTATATTATAATCCACATTTTATCATTTTATATGTGTCTCCAAGATGTAATTTGTTCTGTTCAGACTACTTTGGTGTGTGGTCCTATGTCCGGGTTAAATAATCTTTAAATAAGTGTATTAATACTGTGATACTTTGTTTTCTTAAACCATACTCTCTATTTTTTATTTTTTTTGCTGCCCTTTGCATTGCAGATCACAGCACGTTGTTGTCCTTGAAGCAATTAACTTCTGCCTTATACAGACTGATATTGACTGACTGATCTTTGCTGATGCCGGTGTTCATCTTTTGCAATGTTTTTGGAGTTTGAGCGAATACAAATAGTGGATTGGTCAATCTGAGTTATTTTGAAAAACCACTTTTGGAGCTAGGTGGTTTTAAAGTATTTCCTGCAACTTGGTTTGTGGTGTACAAAAAAGTTAACAGTGTGTTAATCAGCAGCAGTGTCCTGTTTCCTCAGGCTTCACTGTCAACAGCTTTCATTTGAGTATGTTTTGTGCTGAAGAAATTGTTTAAACAAAAACTGATCTGCTGATTACCCAAAGCAGTGACGACTGTTTATCTCAAAGCATACACCAGTCAGCCACAACATTAAAACCATTGACAGATGAAGTGAATAACACTGATCATGTGGTCGCAATGCAAATTATCTGCTGGGAAACCTCAGGTCCAGGCAGTCATGTGGATGCTACTTTCACACGTACCCCACCCCCTCTCGCTACACACTGGGACAATGCTCCCAGCCGCACTGCAAAAATGCTCCAGAATGGCTCGAGGAACATGGCCCGGCCTCCAGAATCCCCGGATCACACTCCGATTCAGCATCCGCAGGATGTGCCATAACAGGCCAGAGCCACAGAGGCCCCACCCTGCAACCCACAGCACCCAAAGGATCGCGTGCCAACATCCTGTTGCCAGACACCCAAAGGCGATCTTGTGTCCATGATCCAATCAGACCAAACTGTTTTTGTGGGCTCACATCACCTACGCATTATAGGCAGGAGGTTTCAATGTTGTGGCGGATCAGTATATAGTTTCTGTTGCTGCTGTGAGTGCTGTGAAATCATTTCATTTCCCTTAAACATATCAAATCTCAGAAACTGATATTTTCCAGGCACGTTTAAACCAAGATTATTGACATATAAGATATGAATAAAAGTAAGGTAAAAAAGTATGAGGCTGGTTTACCAGCAAGACAGGACACGGGAAGATCACAACTTCACATTTAGCACAAGTAGACCATGAGAGAGCAACAATAGACAGTAGACTATACATATCAGCCTACAACTGACAAGCCCTCTTCTTCAATACATGCATTCATGGAGCACAGCAGCGGGCAGCAGTTTGCATGCTAAATCATCCAAGTCAATTAAAGAGTCTTCTCTCAGGCAGTAAATTGCCAGACTCTGATCTGCTGTTGACCTCAAATCCCTATCCAGACAAGCCTCTCGCCACCACTGTGCAATCAGCATTTCTCCACTCTCCAATTTGGCAAAATGATGAATGTGACTCTTTCAAGTTTTTTTTTTCCATATCTTCAATTGTTTAAACAAAAGTCACTGTAGAATCTCGAGTTTATCTCATGAAAAAATGTTAGGACGTTTCATTTCCAGATTTCCAGAATTTGAAAACATAGTCTGAAGTAAAGGATTTCTTTTCAGTAGTTACGTGCAGTTTCCGTGCCAGGCATCATACATTTTGGGACTAACGTAAAGGAAACCTTTTGAACAGCAGCCAGCTAACAACAGCTGTTTTTCTCAGTCTTCGTCTGTAAGGCCCTCTTTCCTTCAAATGCGCAGCTTCGGAGCCTTTAAGGCAAAATGCAATGTGGCTATAATTGGCTCAGTACCAAAGTGTGTGGCTCACTCTGAGCAAAATGAGTCGATCAGCGTAATTGTGCCAATTAAATGTCCAAACATCTTCTGTGATCTACCTCTGGGTATGGGAGTGTTTCAACAAGCTCATCTACTCAGAGCCAAGCAGGCAATCTGTGACGCACGCAGAGGTGAATGCAACCTCAGACACACACACACGTTACACACACATAGACAGACACACTTTATGCAGTATATATATATATATACGTAAAATGGATTTCCGCATTAAGGTTTCCGCTGATCTGCCCTATGCTACCTCAGCTGTCTGCTTTCCACCTTCCATTTTGACCCTCACACACACTCTGTATGTGTGCGAGCTAGCAGCTCGAGGCAGGATTGATTATATTTCCCAACTTTTTGGGCTTGCCTGTTCATTTAGCCCCGTGGATGATGTTCTCATGCTTTTACTGAAAGGGTGTGTGCAGGTGTGTGTGTGTGGGTTAGAAAAAGGATAAAATGCTATCTGAGCTCCAGGGTTTTGGTGAAAGCTCAGAGAGGGGGAGCACACTACATCATGTACTGTTCAAAGATGTCAGTAGGTCAGATTTGGGTTGGATGGTCTGCTGGATGGATGTTTTTTTAATGCTAATGGCTGTAATTCATGCCTGACTTTTGGAGGGATGATTAAGAAAGTGCACTAAATTACATAAGTGGCAGCACTATCTTAGGTTTGTTCTTGGAATCTTATTTCAAATAGGACTATTATGTGTTGACAGGCGCAGAAAGGAAAGAAGAGGAAGAAGAAATGGAGAAAGGGTATATACATCAGTGGTTTTATGCTTGGACCCAGTTGTTTTGCTCTTTTTCGCCATTTTAACAGTAGCCTCGGGGTAAACAAACAGGTGTCTTCCTCCAATTTGGGTGGAGCGACAGACAGATCTGCACTCATGATATCAAGTCCAAATTTACTGGCAACCAAGGCTGGTTTCCTGTGAACATAGGAACATTTTAGGTTGAGAGAGATGATCGTGACTAAATGAGCCTTTTCTTTAAGACTCCCATGGCTAACAGGATGCAATAAAGAAAGCCATGTTTGCTATGAATTCAGAGTAAAAGCTTTAAGGAGCTTAAACTTCAGTTCAACTCTGAAAAGTCTTCTTTGTCAATACCTCATTCTCAGTGTGAAAAGAGAGGAGGAAACTCAGGATAGTGTGTTAGATAGCAGAATAAAAGACGTGGAAACGCCCTTCACAACTGTGCGCACAAAAGGTGAAACGGGATAGTGCAGCGCTGCAGGGCTTTGTCAAGATGCTACAATGAGGTGTGTCAAAAGAGATGAAGAAAAGGTTTTTGGCAATTACCGTCAACGCTAAAAAATAGCGATGTCATCTTAGAAGGCTTCTTTAGTCAGCAGAGAGTGTATTTTTCCAGTTTGGAATAATCTTTAAATGGAGCTTAAAGACATGCAGCAGACCAAGTTGCGCTTCCGCTGCACACTTGCTGCTTTGACTTTATTTATCGACAAATTAGAAGTTACTGTGAAGGTCATGATTTACAAAGCTGGATGATTACCCTGGAGATATGAAGCCTGCACAAGGCTTTTAGGTATCTTCAATCCCACTTCTCATCGCTTTTGTAAGTGAAACTGAAAAGGAAAAGCACTGAGGGGCCCATCAGCCTTATTCTCATGGGTTTAAAGGGCCTTGATGAGGATCAAAAGAGGCCATAGTCTCAGACAAAAGCTTGGCCCCATCAGCCGTCCTTTTTTTTAGGTCTGTGTCTGGCCCAGAACAAAGAGGCTTTCCCCCCAACCTCTAACTAGACCAATTGGACTGGCTCTTGACTGGCATGCAGGGTCGAGCCTCCAGAGTACAGAGGAAGGGGTGAAACCAACAAGCACCAAAGGGTGCTACTAAGGATGACTGACACAGCTGAGATAATCTCCTTCTGAAACATAGTTGAGTATTCAGTCGATAGCCGGTCTTTTTGATCTGATATCCCACTATCATTTCTTCTTCCCATGCTTTTCCCTAATCCTTTTTTTCAGCTCTCCTCAATCTTTACTCTGAGAGAGAGCAATCTGATGCATTCACCCATCATTTTTTTAATAATAGATATCTCGGTACGTGCAAAATGTCCTTATTTCCACTTTAAACAAAAAATGTGCACAACCACAAACATCTGGCAAAGAGCAGGGCAAACACCAACCAGTTTTTAAATGAAGCGGGTTGTTAAACAGGGAAACATTGCAAATTATGTGCTGCTATACTGTCAGATTATAATTTTATAATCACAAGAGGAGCTTCAACTATTCTTTCCACTATTTGTTTCTTGTTTAAAATTATCCAATGCAGGCAAATGATTGTTATAATTTTCTGCAGGAATCCTGATGGGGATGTTCAGCCGTGGTGCTACATTGCAGATCATGAGGACGGGATCTACTGGAGATACTGTGACATCCCTACATGCCAGAGTAAGAGACTGCCACTTCTTTATCTCGCTCTCTGTCTTCATCCCTTCCATGCCCTCAGGGGCAAATCTTGGGCATACGGTCCAACCACTTTCATTGCTATGCTCATCTTCTCGCCTGCTATGAATAGCTTTTATGGACTGCGGTGGCTTGTACACAGCTATTATCATCTAAAAAATGTCTCTAATTGCCTTCCGTCACTCCTCCTCCTGCCATGCCTGGGCCTGTCTTCAAGCTGTCACTGCCTACTTGTGTGTGTGTGAATGTGTGTGTGTGCATTTTTGTATATATCTATCTTCATAAGTTTCCCCCTTTGGCTTTGCAGCTTGTTTTGACATGCTTTTTTGACGTGAGCGACTATGTGCATCTACCAGTTTGTGGATGCTTTTGTGTGTTTTGTTCACATGTGGGTGTGAGAGTTTCCCTGTCCAGTAATTCCGGGATTAATATGTGTGATGGACTGTTTACACAGGGAGATTTAGTGCTTCTGTGTGTCTTCTCTACTAGTTTGGCACATATCTAGAAAGAGCTGCCTGTCTTTAATCCCGGTGCTTTTGTTCCCTCCACCTTTTTAATCGCTCCTGTTGAAAACAGACTCTGATGGATCAGCCTAACACTGTTTTTGATGCCAAATATCTGAATACCCGCAGAGGAGATTCAGATCTAGTGATTTATGGCACGTAACTGGTGCACATGCTGATGTTATTAAATGCAAACAATGTGTTGTTATAAAAGTGCCAATAAAGTTGGGAAACAAATATTATTTTAATAACTAAATGAATCTGATAAGTGAGCACAATAGGAGAGATAAAGGCAAAAAATTTTACCAAGCAGAGCTTGACTGATTTGTTTAACTTACATAAATATTCCATTTTCCTCTTCAGTCATGAATGAATAACATTCCATTTAATCTAATCAAACCCTACTTTATCGCTGCGTGCCTGAGATTCCTTCTCTATCTTTATGTATTTTCTATTATTATTTTTCCAAATCCTTAAATATCTATTGTACTTCTCCTGTGGCTGCCTGAGACCTTTTCATTCCTTAATATTTAATGTGTGTAGTGTTTAGTTATATCTGCAGTGCTTACCACTGTCACCGCATTAAGGGTCTAACCTGTTCTGCAGGGTTAGTGATGCTAGTCCAGAAATCCTAATTAATAAAGACTAAAGACCACAAAAAAGAGGTAAAAAAGAAGAAGAAAATGCAGCCTGTCTTGGAACTTGAGGTAAAACAGTAGAAATAGTGCAGGTGGAAAGCTGCAAAGCTTGCAGTAGGTACTACGAGGCACTACTAGGCCTCAAGAACCTCCCAGCCCCTCTAGCTATCCCACCATTATCCTGTCTGAGTAGCATGCCTGACTAAAGCCTGCTGTTTGAATGGCCCGGAACCCATTAACCCGTCTAATAATGCCTGTTGGCTGCACGGCCAGTGTGTGTAGCCATAGTTATCCTCGGTATATTATGCATATAGGAGCTTGTCTGTATCCCATTAGAGTTTTGACTGACCTATTTCAGACAACTGTCCATTTAGCACAGTGTGTTTTTCCTCCCAAACCACAAAGGTTTGGAAGAGCAGTGTGTACATTGAGAGCTTGTCACTGTCTTTGGTAAAATTGGGCCAGCTTTTATTCCGTATGGATATACCATGTGCTGGTTGAGCCTTGTTTTTGTTTGGGATCCTAGTACTGCGTATGTAACCCATCCTTGTGACATGTGGCCAATTTTCAGCTGCTCAGAGCTTTGCCCATATCAAGTGCTGCCTTACATGATCGTTCCCTTTTTTGTTTGGCTGTTGAAAGTTAGATAGAGCAATGAAACATAAGAAAAGGAGATGGGGTGTGCTGCGAGCCAGGCATTCAGTGTCATGAAAACATGCTTGTTTGGTGGAGACGGTTTCTCCCTGCAGGGGTACGAGGCAGCTTTCAGACACGAATGCTCTGTCTCATCTATTGTAAAACCACAATCGCCACGTGGTGCCTCACCTTCTGGCGCTGCGTGTTCTCAATCTTCTGCGTTTGAAAGCTTCGGCTGCCAAGTGAGAGAATGCTGATGTTCTTTCGGTGTCAGTGTTCTCAGTCTGCGGCTGGCTACAATAGCCTCAAAAACACTGTGGTGTGCCAGAGGAAAGGCAACAGTGGTCTGTGTTTTCATTTTGTCTCACTTTTGTTTTGTCTGTGCCTTCGTTTTGTCTGCTTTTTTGCTTACGTTTGATGTCGTGTGGTTGGTAGTGGGTCGCCACTCGCTGAGCCACCTGCCGCAGCCTTGCTAGTGGTTCGTCTGTGATCCAGCTGGGTTTCCTGTCATCTAGGGTCATGCCACCCCTGTTGAGGGTGACACACCCTGATGGAGCATCCACAGGCAGGCAGGTCACACGAGGCCAGGAACACAACGTCTGACAGTGTGGATTACAGCGTAGGTCAGTACATTTGTTGATCTTAGTAATCCCTCATGGCAGCGTCATGTGGTGGAATTGTCTAAACATTTCAAAAAGGCACGCTGTCAGTGCACGTCTGTACACAATGACAGCTGCGCAGCAAGTTTTGTCCTAAAGGTAGAGCCGCTCCTCGTTGCCAGATCGGTAAATGCTCGCTGTCGTTATATATTGAAGTCCACATCTTGCTTCGAACATTAGCCTTGCTCTTCTGACAGCAGTTCTAAACATTTTCACATGACTAAAATCTCAATTCCCCTAAAATTATCTCATTATTAAACTGCACTGAATGTTCTTTTGAGTAATGTGACTCTTTCATTCATTGTGAAATGTAATTTTCTCAACGTTGTAGGTGAGTTGAATGCTGATACATTTTAACCAGGCTTTTAGTGTGCCGAGAGGACTATGTTTTAGCAATGAGCTGTAGAAAGCAACAAGTCCACTCAGGTCCTCCAACTAAGTGATCGCATCTGTCGTGTCTTACTAAACCCATACAAGTATTCCTGAAACAACATACACAACATGATAACATGCACGTCAGAAGGCCTCAACACACCCATTTTTTGACCCAGAGACTGGAGGTTAAAGCTTCCCTGTGATGGGTTTGGGATGATGTGCACACTTGCGATAATGTTAAACTCAACGCAAAAAGCTCCATTCTACAGGGTGCCAAGTTAAAGGTGACGCCACTCATTTTTTACATGCAATTTTACATGCAATTTTTCACGCGTTCCACAGAGGCCATACTATAGATCATAATAACAGCTTGTGAGGAAGGATATATAAAGGATGGACATGGCCACACTGATGTCACAAGTAAAGTAGTAAATTCCCATTGTAACACCTCAAGCTGAGCATTTTGATCATGGCTGTCTTGGTATCTTGACCATGGGGTGACTGTGTCAGAGCAACCGTCCTGCCTGCTCGTGTTCTAGTGACTCGACAATGACAAGACAACTCTGCCCTAAATAATAATATCAGTAGAGACCAGAATGTTTGCTGAAGAGACTTTTTTTATTACCAAAAGAGTCTGGATGTTAGAAAGAATGCATTTTAAGGAACTTCAAAACTGGTTTTACATTTTAGACTTAAAAGCTACATCCATCCTTTATGTACAGTCTGTTGGGAGGAAGGAATTTTCTAATGAGGTGGAAGGAAAACCTGCGACCAAACCAGCAGGTTTATTAAATTTAAAACAAAATGCAACTGCTAAATCCATTAATTCAAAGTGAGACAGTAAGTGGGAGGTAAAAGAAAAATGAGTTTGTGGTTACTTGCATTGACAGCAGATTCATCAAACATTAGCTCAGTTTGAAAATATGCTTTACTCACTTGTTAAAACATGCAGTCATATTAGTGATTGATAAGATGACAAAAAAAACACGAAAAAAAAAATCTGGTTAAAATTATAGACCTAACTTTTTACAAAGGATTCTGTTGCTGTACGTCTCTGTTGTGATGTTCTGAAATGCTTGTTTACATGACCACTGACAGTGTGATGGTTCCTTCCCTAAAGCATTCCATACTGCAGAGACATTTTCTTTTGGTGTGGCTCCTTGAAGCTGACACGCATTTGCTTGATGCTATGCGCTGACTGAATTTGACTGACAGAGTGAAACTGTCAGGGTGAAGTCTTCAAGCGTTTGCCAAGATAAAGTCGCTTTGATGTGCACATTGGAAGCTCATCTTTCAACAGCATATAACCAAGAAAAACTTGTTATGCCACTGTGTTCCTGTAGTATGGAGATGTGGAGCATTTGAGTTTTCCCCTTGGTTTCCTTCACTAGAATAGTTTGAAAATACATTTTTCCATGACCAATCCTAGGAATAATAAGAGTTGATAAACCCAGCTAAGCCTGCCCATGTTGCCGATTTATTTCAAGTTATATAGACTATGTGAGTGTGGTGTACAGTCTCTGTTTATTTTAGACATTGTTGCTGTGGCTGACGATACCTGCTGGGTGGTGTTAGGATGAGAGACGTTATCTTTATGCCAATATTCCCTTAAGCTCTGTGATACTTTAAGATATCATTTTGTTACAGAGCTGTCAATGTGTTTGCACCTCACTTACAGTAAGTTATTCTTTTATCTGTTTAAACAATTGAGGGAATGTCTGACTAACGCTGCTGGTCAACATGCAACAATAGTCTCAATATGAGCAGAGCAGTACTACACTCATCTGGCAAGGCTAACCAGTCACACCTTAAAAAGCATTAAAACAAAGCAGTAATGTGTTTGGTTCAGGTTTTATTGCTGAACGTTGAGGTAAATATGAAGTGTTGAGATAAGTGCCTTCATTTACGGTGATTTATGATGACGCTAAATGCCACTTTGAAGTTGCGGATCACCTTAGTAAACCCTGACGTACTCTTGAGTGAATGCGATCAGGTGTGCTCGTCCTCGTCGTTCTTGTTCAGTGTTTTGTGAGGAAAGTGAACAGTCTGCATGTCAAAGGTTTATAATGTCTGAAACGAGTGTTTCTTGGACTTAACTTACTTTTGAAGTTGCTATAAATGTCCATCGTCACTGCTTAAATACAAGCTGTAAACTTTAATGAAACCCTTTCCTT